TGCAACCAGCTATCTGGACATCCCTTGGATTCCTGTGGCTCACTTCTGTAATCCTAGCTACTTGGGAGGCTGAGATCAGAAGGATCATGGTTCACTTGCAGGCCAGATCAAGCAAATAGTTTGAGAGACCTTGTCTCCAAAAATAGCCAGAACAAAATGGCTCAAGCAGTAGAGCACATACTTTGCAAGCATGAAGCCCTGAATTCAAACGAAGTCCCACCAAAAAAAAAGAAAGCCAGAAAACAGAACAACTGAAAGCCTTTGCTATGAGAGAACAAGTAGCTATTGCACTTGACTGTTATGGTAGTAATGAGCGTTAAGTCAATGTAGCATGGGATACATCGTTTTTAATGCACTCAAACATTTATAGCCAGAACATTACACATTCAAGCCTCTTAACTCAGTTCAAGTCACCATCTGAGAAGCAGATAACTTCCATAACAGCTCAGAATGTTTTTTGATTGTTTGCTTGCTTTGCAGTACTGGGGAACTGAATGATAGGTTGGTGCTCTACCACTAAGCAACATCCCCAGCCTCAGAAGTAGTTCTTTCTTGTACCCACAGTGCTGATCTCGCTGAAAGTCACTTACTAGAGATTTCAAACTTAAATGCTAGTGTGGCCAGGCGCTGGTGGCTCACACCTGTAATCCTAGCTACTCAAGAGGCAGAGATCAGGAGGATCAAGGTTCGAAGCCAGCCTGGGCAAACAGTTCACAGGACTCCATCTTGAAAAAACCCATCACAAAAAAAGGGCTGGAGGAGTGGTTCAGGGTGTAGGCCCTGAGTTCAAACCCCCATACTGCAAAAATAAGTAAACAAATAAATAAATAACAATACGCTAGTGTGTTCAGCTAGCTGGCTTTAACAGCTTACTCCTTTGGTGAGCTGAAATTTGGATTCAAGGGTGCCTGCAGTTAGTGAAGCTGAGAGGCAAGAGCTTTAGGGAGACAGAAATGCTGACTGGTTTTATTGCGTGTCCTGCACACCCTCCCCAGTCCCAACTATGTTTACCGGAAGACACTGCCTTCTTTAGGCCTTTGAGAAAGGCATTAGTGAGAGAATCACTGGAATCCGTGACTCTGTGGTTACCCTCCTTGTGGGTTTGCGTTTTTCTTCACCGCTAGCCGGCTAGCCCGGAGCTTCCTTAGTTGAGGACAGAAAGACCAGCGTGCTCTGGGTCTTTCTTTCCAACCCAGGCAGGAAGCCTGAGGGACCACACTTGAGTGAGCATGAGGAAGCTTGGACTGTCTTCATGACCTCCACCCCCCACAGAACATAAGCCCCTAACAAGTCTCCTGCTTACTCTTGCCTGTGTGTAGATAACTTCCTGATTCCTCTCTTCCCAAGCTCGGATGTCATTTTAGCTCCAACCTTGTCCTCCTGTCAGGGTCTTTATTTCTTTTGTCCCCTTTGCTTGAAAGGTTCTTCCTTCAAAACCTTGCAAAACGGCTCATCTCATGCTTCAAGTCTCAACTTAAATATCCCCTTCCCTGACAATGAAGTTCCTACTACTCTTTTTTTGTTAAGCTCCTTTTTGTCATTGTCCCTACCTGTAATCAATATATGTGTCATTTATCTGTTTATAAGTCTCCTGGGCTAGAACAGAAACCAAGGGCAAGGATCTTGCCTGGCTTTTTCTTCGCTCATCCCTCAACATTTAGCAAAGGACCTGGATCGCAGTCATTCATCCCGTATTTGAAAAATCACCGATCTAGAGAATGTAACAAAGCCCCTACTGTGAACACCTGCAGGTCCTCACGCGCCACCCAGAGCCACGCCCGCTCCTTGACGGCGCGCCTGTTTCGGCGGCTCCCCTGAAGATGCCCCATAGTCTCCTCCTTCCTGGTCTCTCTCCAGTGGCCGTGGCCCAGGCTGCCTGGCCGCCGCAGCACGTCGGCCACTACTCCGGGCCTGGGATGGTGCTGGAGCGCAGGCAGGACGCGCCCGGTTCGCGCGAGCTCTAGCGCAGGGACCAGAGCTATCCCTGTGCTGCAGATCCTCCGGCTTAGTGGGACCGGAAGTGGCCGCACGAAGCCGGAAGTGGCTAGGATCCGGCTCTCGCCATCCTTTCTAGGATTGCAGGCAGCTCCGCATCTCGGTGGTGTGCTCGGGAAGCCAGAGGCATGGCGGACCCACTGTAAGGGCTGGGGGTCAGCGGCGAAGCCGGGCCTCCAGCCCCCAAGGTCTTCGCCCGGAAGAGAGAAAACGTTCAAATCTCGAGTCTTCAGCCGTTGCCCGGGCAACCCTGAGGTTTGGGGCGTGGAAGGGCCACTGCGAGTACAAACGTCCGCCGTGATTGGCCAGTTCTGTTGGCGAGCCCTCCCCTGACAGTTGATTGGCTGAGGGCCGGCGGAGGGCGGGGACTCTAATTGCTGTCCTTGCAGGGTAGTGTGTAGGTGAGGCTTGGCTGTAGAAGAGCCCCAAAGGGCATCCAGAACTCACCGCCGGGCGGCACCCCACGAGCTCGGAGGAGCTGTACTAGGCTAGCGCGGTCCTGAGACCGACGCCCCCGTCTCGGGCAGGCAGCACTGCCAGCTGGGCCTGAACGCAGGCCGCAGACAGGTGGGAAACCGAGATGGAAACCCTTTCCCTCCACCCTCGCCTGCACCCTTCTCCTGACAGCACAGGTGAACGGTAAACCAGTCAGGTAGAATTCTGCAGTGACCGAGAGAGAAAGTGGGACATAGGATATGAACGAAAGACTCTTGTCTCCTCACTCTACCCAGACACCAAGACCCTTCCCTCGGCTCTCTCCATTTAGTCTCCCATCACCCGCCAAATTAGCTCTTCAGCATGACATTATTCAAAGAGCTTCCACGACACAGCTCCAACTACCTCTTCAGTCTTATTTGCTCTTGTCAATTACTCAAGGTGTCACTTTCTACCGTAGCATACTCTTGCCAGATCTGTCCCAGAATGGTAGTTTCTGGGTGGATCTCTAGGCAAACAGTTTCGGGGGAGGCCATCTGCAGGTATTACCCACAGGACCTTGGGACCCTCATCCCTCTGCACCTGCAGTGAAAAGGGAAATGTTTCTCTTGGATACTGTGATCTCTGAGCTCCCTGGGGGCCAGAAAGAAGTCTGTAAAAATGACTCCCTGCATCACCTGACAGCCCTCTGACTGGCTCAAGTCCTGACACCTGCCAATGCATCAGCCACCTAGCCAGAGAAACTGCAGTGCATCCTGTGTCGAGCCCTGGTGACCAGTGAGGACAACTTTCAGTGTCATATTGACAAGCCTTCCTACCTGCCTTTCAATAGGAAGAGTTCCCTGAGAGCAATGGGCTTTACAAGTGAGAGTCCTCTCAGACTGAGCCAAGAGAAATCCCGTTTCTGGCTGAGTGCCTGGAGCCATGAGGACAAGATGAAGGGAGCAATCTGCTTTCTCTCTGGCCTCTTGGAGAAAGAAACATCTAATTCAACTAATCCTGCCATCAACCCTAGCTCAGATCCCACTGAGACCTCCCAGACGCCATGAAGAACTGCCTGGGTTCCACTAGTTAGCATCTCATCTGTATCTACCCCTGGCTACCCTCACATCCAGCTGAGTCCAGCGTCCCTGAAGATCCAGATAGTGTTTATTTTACTCCTCTTAAACAGTCCTTGCTTCATAAAACCATAAGATTATTAGCTGTAAACAGGGGTGCATGAAATAGAGACATTCCTTATGGGTTAAAACACCAGACCTGGATCTGACATCAATTTCAGCTCTGTGGTTGTATGACTTTGAGCAAATGATCGGATTTCTGTTAGTCTAGGTTTCCTCACTGTAAGGCTGAGATAATAAAACTCACTAGGTCATTGTGAAGACTAGAGGTAACTTACATGCAGGCTTGGCCCCATGCTGGGCAGAGCAACTGCTCAACAATTGGCAGCTATTCAGGCTGCTGCATCCTATAGGAGCTGGGAACCAACCAGGGCTGGTGATCTCATCAGAACAGGTGGGGTCTCTGTGGCCTCCCTGATGCAGACATTCTTATGGTCAGTTGGTATCACAGCTGAATGTTATGTTTGCAGCTGAGCCACAAGCATGGGATAATAGGCCGAACTTACTTCTCAGGAAAAAAAGAATGGAAAGTGGAAGCTACAGAGATTAAAAACCAGGGGAAGACTCAGACTAAAATAGAGTCAAACAGGAGCAGGTGGTGGAAATTATAAAAGACATACTGAAGCTACAAATTAGTGGTAGAGCACTTGCCTAGCATGCATGGGGCCCTGGGTTTCATCCCCACCACCACAGTCACACACACCACACACAAAACCCATACATCAAAAGACCAAGGAAGTGAGAAGCAGCAGAGGTGGCAGCAGCTGCAGAATGAACCAGGAGGGAAAGCGGTTCCTGGCAAGGGAGGAATCCTTACTGGATCACCCAGCAGAAGTAGATGGGAAAATGTCACAGAACTCAGCCAGGGAGCCTAAGACAGGAGATGAGGAAGGGGAAACACTGAGCAGGAGTTTTCAAGTTAGCTCTTCCCTGCTCCCAGCTCCCAAACAAAGGACCCAAAGGAAAGTCCAGGGTCCAGTGGGCAGCAAGTGCCCTTGAGACACGTTGGCAGCAGCAGACAGCTCCACTGGGGCCCACAGTTTCAGAAATGGCTGGCTGGCGTCAGGCTTGGAAACCTATCTGCACTCAGAAGCCTTTGTTTATAGACTTATGCTCCCAGTGTTCTGGAATGGCTCTCTGGCGAAAAGGAGACCCCCAACCTGGATCAAGACTGAAGAGTGCCCAAGCCAAGAACTGTGACTCAGGGATGCTTGAATGAGGGCTCATGGTTGATCCAGGAGACCCCACACTTGGGAGTCAGGCCTGCATCTGTGAGACAAAGCTAAGCGAGACGAAGTCGCAGACCATTGCTTCAATTCCAAAGCCTTTAATGGGCGGGTAGAGTGCCCAGTGCCCTCTCGCCCGAACTCCTCCCACACTGCCATGCCCCACCCAGTGCCTGGCACCTCCCTGGCTCCCTTCCCTCCACCCCACCACTCCCAAGGCCTAGGCCATTCATTGCTCCTTCCGAGGCCCTAACGTCAGTAGGACTGTCCCAGCTGCCCAGAGTGCTCCCGCCCCTCCTTCCTAGGTGGGGGCAGGCGGGGGTGCGGCCAGAGCCCCAGCAGCTGCCGCCCCCAGCATCAGCATGGCCAGGGCCTTGGGCCCGGTGGTGTGGATCTTCTCGTGCCGGTGCAGGTTGGAGCGCCGGCTGAAGCTCTTGCCGCAGAGCGGGCAGGAGTACGGCCGCACGCCGCGGTGGGTGCGCTGGTGGGCGGTGAGGTGCGAGCTGTGGCTGAAGCTTTTCCCGCAGTCGAGGCAATGGTAGGGCTTCTCGCCCGTGTGCGTGCGGTTGTGCGCGATGAGGTTGGAGCGCTGGCTGAAGCACTTGCCGCACTCGGGGCACGGGTAGGGCTTGACGCCGGTGTGGGTGCGCTGGTGGGTGACCAGGGCCGAGCTCTGCGTGAAGCACTTGCTGCAGATGGGGCACTTGTGCGGCTTGGCACCCGTGTGGGTACCCTGGTGCGTGACAAGGTCCGAGCGGCGGGTGAAGCGCTTGGCGCAGCGGTCGCACACATAGGGCTTCTCGCCGGTGTGGATGCGCTGGTGCTGGATCAGCGTTGAGTGATGGCTGAAACTCTTCCAGCACGAGGGGCAAGTGTAAGGCTTTTCGCCCGTGTGGATGATCTGGTGCTGGATGAGGTGCGAGCTGCGGCCGAAGCGCTTGCCACAGTCCGTGCAGGCGTAGGGCTTCTCCCCAGTGTGCGTGCGCCGGTGCGTCACCAGGTGCGAGTGCCAGCTGAAGCCCTTGCCGCACTGCTCGCACTTGTAGGTTTTCTTGCCCGTGTCGCCGTCAGGGGCCAGGCCCTCCTCGCCACTCTCCGGGGCGCCCTTCTCCTCCTCGCTGGGTTTCTCTGGGACAGAGCCCTCGGGGGCCCTTGGGGTATTTGTGCTGGGCAGGGCTGACTTCGTCTGTTTTGCTTCTGGCTGCCCGGTGTCGCTGGCTGGCTCCGTGCTGTGGTCACTAGTGGCCTGCTGATCACATTGCGGGTCCTGTCCCAGGGTCCACCCCACCCTGGTTCGTAAGGGCTTCACATCCCCGAAGGGTGCCATGGGTAGGATTGGCACCTCTTTTCCCACCTCCACAGCCCCTGGAGAAAGAGAGAGGGTCTCCAATGAGAGTTGGCTTCTGGAGTCTTCCCAGGGTGTGGGAGGCAGGAAAGGGAAAGGGGGGCTTAGGGGAACTCTCAAGGAGAGAGCCACCTTCTAGGGAGGAGAATCTGGTGATTCTGCACCCTCAGAGAGCAGACAGAAAGCTCACATCCTCCAGGTCACCCAGGAATGCCTGCACCAATACTTCTTCCAGGGCGCCTGCCAAGGAGCTCACCTGAACCTGGGCCTCTCCTCTCTTCTTTCCCAGCTCCTTTCTGCCAGCTGGAACTGGAGTCCTCCACCTTCCCCTGCACTGGGGGAGCCCAGAAAGATCTGCTGAAGGGAAACCCTGCCCAGAGAGAGAGGCTGTATTCATCACAGATTTTCCAGGGCAGAACAATGGACATCAGCCCCCCTCCTCCCAGGAGTTGATGAGGGGAAAGCAAGGCTCCAGAAACATGGGCAAAATAAAATGCGCTCAAAAAAATCCCTTTATGGCCAGCCATGGTGGTGAACACTTGTAATGCCGGCATTTAGGAGGCTGAGGCAGAAGGATCTCAAGTTCAATGTCAGCCTGGGCTACATGGTGATACTCTCTCTCAAAAAAACAATGAAAAAGAAAAAGAAAATTATTTTAGGAAGACTCAGGGTGTAGGTCAAGCATAGCATGCTTCCTGGGGTTCTATCCTAGCACCACACACACACACACAGAAAGCCATTTGAGGGTAGAAGCAGCTGGCTGTACTCTTCTAGTGCTGCGCTGGCTCCCCGTTCTCTGAAGCTAAAGAACTCTAGTGGGAGGAGCAGAGCCCCGTAGGACAGGGTGGCAACTCCCTTTCCTCATCTCAGCTGCCGAGTAGTGGGTCCAGCAGTAAGAAACAAGGACTGTCCCACTCCTGCACTTGCATCGTGAGGGGATGGGTACAGTGGCTGGGGGCTGGAATAAGAGACCAAGGATGTAACAACCACAAAGTCAGGAACCAAAGCCTTCATTTGCTGAGTCCCTGGAGTGAGAGGCCCTAAGAATTTTGGTCAAGTCAATAAGAGAGCAGAGGGGACTTGGCCTCCATGACCTGTGGGAAGAAAGGAATTTGTTGGACCAGGGAGGTAGTCTAGGGCCTCCAAGAGGTCTGCCATGGGGTTGGCTGCTAAGTTCCCTCTGATCTCCCAGGATTTGCCTGGACTTGTTGGTCTGCACCCTGGGGAATGTTAACAATGGGTAGTAAGCAAATCTGAGATAATTACAGGAGTGACCAGGGAGGATGGTGTGATTCAATGGGGAGTTCTCAGGACCACCACTGAAGTCAAGTCAAGAATTGCCAAGGCCTGGGACTCCACCTGGGTTAGCATGTGCAATAGCCATGTGTTGGCCAACTGAATGACAATGAAGACCTCAATCAACTTCTGTCAAGACTAGTCTGAAACTGAGGAGTCAAAAGCCTGGGACTTAGATACCTGCCATCAGAAAAACACAGGAACCAAGCCCCTGGGAGGAGCACCCACTCCCACAGGTCGTGGGGGTAGATGTGACATCTCAGTGTCCGCTGAGCCTGGTATGTTACTGACGCTACTTTCTACCAGGGCAAGCAGCTCACCAACCCCAGCACCAACCTTTCTGTGGACACCTATGAAGCTGGATCTTTGAGAAGGAAGCGCTGAAACTCAAATTTGAGCTGATTATATTAAGTAAAATTTAAAACTCAATCACTCTTCTAATTTCTAGTGCTCAACAGCCACCAGGCTCATGGCCACCATTCTAGCACTGTGCAGAACATTTCCACGCTGTGCAGGGTTCTACAGCACAGTGCTGCCTAGATGAACAAGAACAGGGAAAGGGAGAAGGATAGGGTTGAGGGGTGAGCAAGGAGGACAGCACCTTCCCTGACACCCCAGGAAGCTGAGGGCCCCACCACAGGAGAGCCCTTACCCAAGGCCAGCCCAGTTCTCTTCTGTAGCATGTCCCTGTAGAAGTTCTGCTGTGTGTGGTCCAGCCGTCCCCATTCTTCCCGAGAGAGGTACAGAGCCACATCCTCAAAGGTTACTGGCATCTGAAACAACATCAAATATTCACTGTTCAGAAATTCCATGGAGCCAGGCACCAATAGCTCACACCTATAATCCTAGCTTCTCAGGAGGCAGTGGTCAGGAGGATCACAGTTTGAAGCCAGCTCACAGCAAATAGTTCTCAAAATTCTACCTTGAAAAAAAACTATCACAAAAAAGGGCTGGTGGAGTGGGTCAAAGCAGTAAGAGTGCCTGCCTAGCAAGCACAAGGCTCTGAGTTCAAACCCCAGTGCCATCGGGGGGGTGGAATATATATATATATATATATATATATATATATATATATATTTATATATTAAAAAATATATATATATATATATTTATATATTAAAATATATATATATATATATGCCATCTATATATCTAGATAGATAGATAGAAGGCTAGATAGATAGATATGCATGCCATGGACATGGTGGAAGAAAATGACAATGTCAAGACATGTGGTAAGATCTGGACTTCCCAACTGCTGTCTCCAATGGGGCCCGAAACCGGCTTTGATGTTCAGGCCAGAGGCCATCCAAGAATGGCCCTGGCACAGGGGTGATGTTTCCAGGGACCATAGCCAAGGTTCAGGATCTCCGTGTTGCTTCCATCCTCAGTTCAGACCCCAGAGACAATTTACAATTAGAGACCTATCTCTCCACTTCTGCTTTTCCTCCAACCTTGGCTAGGCCTGACCATGGACCCCAAGCCTGGACAAGGACACTCAGGTGGCCATTCCAGCAGCAGGAATCTGAGAGTCCTAGGCAGCAGGTTCTGGCTCCAAGTGGAGCCTGGTGTCACACAAAGAGCTAGCAGGTGCAGGAAGGCCTGAGCACCATTTATGTGGGTTGGGGAAAGGCCCTGCCTCTGCCCAGGGTTAGGCAGGAGAAGGGGTAAAGAGGCCAGCAGGGATACTCACCTGAGACCAGGCGGTGAGGAGTGCTGCAGCCATCTGCCGGTCTCTCGTCCTCCCCTCTCGGGAAAGCATAGGGATGCAAGGTGAGGGGAGGGCTGTGGGAGGAGAGGAGTCCTCAGGGTGACCAGCTCATCCTTCTGGGCTCTGCTGCTCCCCCAGCTGCCTCAACACAGCCCCCAAACCAACCCTGGAAGAGGGTCAAATGCTCCAAGGTTGCCAGAGATGCCTCAGAGAGTCAGGCAGATGGGCAGGTGGGAATCCAGGTCCCCTCTCAACGTAAGGACGGTCCACCCTCCCGAGGATGAGCATCCATCTCCCCTACACTGCCTCCCGAGGAAAGCACCTCATTCACGTCCCTCTCCTACCTCCACCAGGCAGGAAGAGAGCTTTCTCCTTAGAGCCAGGACTTAGGGGTACCCAGCCCTGGGCACCTGGAGCCCTGTCCTCCTGCGGTGCCCCCTCACAGTGTGGTTCTTCCAGCTCCATCTTAATGTGTGTTGATTCCAGAGAGGCTCCCAAGGGCACTGTCTGTCCTTGCCCAGAGGGCAATTCTTGACAAGAATGCCCATGACCTGGAACCTAAGAATGACAGCCCCTATTAGCATGCGGCTGCAGAGCAGGGGAAACCCCAGCTGTCAGAACATATACCCAAGCAGCTTGAAGGTTTGTCTCACTGTCTGTCCAGCTTACTCCAGCAAGGATGAGTCACAAGAGACAAAAACTTGTCAAGCCTTGGCACAGTGCAGTGGACAAGGTGCTCTGTGGACTTTTTTTTTTCTTAACATATGAGAAAACCAAGTGTTGTGGGTTAAATAGCATCCCCCACAAACCTGTGTCTACCCTAAACCTGAGAATGCAAGTTTATTTGGAAAAATGGTGTTTACAGAGGTAATCGAGTTAAAAATCTCAAAATGAATGACTTAGCCCCTTGTAAGAACAGAAGGCCCAGACAGGGAAGGAAGAGGAGATGGACAGAAGCATCAGGAGCCCTAGAAGCCAGAAGAGGGGGCAGGACTCTCCCTGACAGCCTCAGAGGGAGCCTGGCCTGGCTGATACCTGGCCTCCAGGACTGTGAGAGAATGAATCCTGGCTGTCTGAATCCACCTAGTTAGTGGTAACTTGGGACAGAAGCCACCGGAAACTAACACCAAGACCAGAGATAAGACAACAGCCCACAATCACAGCGCTCAGAAGCTTTAGATAAGACATTTCCTTCAGTGAGAGGCCCCTGGTGAGTCCTTGTGGCTTCCCAGAGCACAGGGACCAACTAGCCTTCTGCTGGGAGCTGGGACCCACCCCTCCCTCACCCCTCCTTCATCTGTATTTGAGTCTTGAAGGGAAAGATTCCCAGAGTGCCTTGGTGCCAGGCCTCTGAGACTCAGCTGCTTCACCACCTGCCCAAGTGGTCATAAGGGGCACATAGTTAAATGAGAGACAGCTACCTGCTCCGAAAGATTCTGAATAAGCACAGAGCAGCATGCGTCTACCTGTGTGGAATTCAGAGAATCTGACATCAGCAGAAAATGTCACCATACAAGGTTCGCTGGGCATTCAAGGCTCGTGTAACAAGTGTTGTAAAAGTGATGCCGCACAGTGGTAACAATTCTTTGAACTCCTATGGCACGAAAACAGTGGCAGGAGTGCTGGTGCATGTTTATTTATAACCGCTGGCAATACAGGTGGGAAGATACAGGTTCTAGTAGTGTGGGTGTTCTCGTTTCATGTGTCACAATAATAATTAGCTATGGGCTGGTAAGATGCTTACAGGGGACTCTCATGCCCATTATCTCCTTCAGGCTTCCCAGAGACCTGGCAGTCACATGATCTGAATTTTACATACAACCCACTTGGTTCCCATAGGCTGGGGAGTGGTCCAAGATCACACACCTAGCCTGTGACTAACTCAGAGTCCCTCTAGGCCTAAGCTTAGACACCCTGGTCCCCTATAGGTGGTAATTACACACACACACACACACACACACACACACACAGAGCAGGTACAGGCAGGCCTACGGCTCAGACCCAGACAGGTGAGATGTGTCTCAGGTAGAATAGGGAAAGGAGTAGAGTAAGGCTTCCTTCTGTGCTCCGGGCACTCTTCAGAAAAAAACTCACTAGAGGACCCTGACGCTGCCCTCCTATTTTATCGTGTGCCTACAACTATGGAATTCACTGAGCAAAGCAAAAGTTAACACTATAACGGCTAGATGGAGGGAAATTCCCATCATGCCTCCTTCTTTCCAATACTCCAACTCAGTGCTCCAATCTTTGGCCATGATACCCCAATGACTCTAGCTCTTCCCTTGGTCCAGACACCCGCTTTGGAAATCCCCTCTGCCCGTACTCCTTCCAAGGCACATCTCCTGCCTCCCTCACATGGGGCCCCGTCATACCTTTTGGGCTCTCTCCTTATTCTCAGCAGCCTGGCTGCTTCCGCCATCTGCAGACATTTTATTTCAGACGTAGGAAGACCAGTATGTTGTTTCTCCTTCCTGCTAGCCTGGAAGAACAGACAGAAGTCAGGCAGCATTTCCCGGTACCTCCAAAGTGCTCCCCAAATCTCCTGCTGGCCCTCAGCTCCCTGTTCCCTACAGACATTAAGTCTGCAGACCCTATCCAGTTCCACTCTGTGATATTTTTCGTTCTTCCTTTCCAAAGAATGCTATTATGTTTTGTCCCCTTTGTTGCTGAAGGGAGAGCCCCACATCTCAGATTAAGTGGCTCAGAGAAAGCGGGGCATACATGGGAATTGGGCAAAAAGGTTCTGTGGAGATCCTCCAAAACAGGTGCTGGTGGGGCCCCACCTGTCACAGTCAGAGAAATCCCAGCCTCACTGGCCCCAGGACATGCTCTCTGTGCCCTGACCCAACCTAGAGCTCTGCCTGGGATTCAGAAATCAACCTGCCAAAGCTTGGCAGTCCCCCAGCAGCTGCCATTGCCTGCTTTGAGATGTCCATCCTGTTTACATCCCGATAGACTATGTCCTTCTTCCCAAATCCAGTTCCAGGCCCCCTTCTCTCCTGCCAGCCTGAAGCCTGCCACCTCTGACCCTGTCCTCCTACAAGCGGGCCACCCGGCCACCTGTGCTGGTCTCCGGATTCAGGCGCCCTCCCCAGCATCCCCTTCTCACCAAGGTGGAGACGGAAGGGGCACCTGGAGTGGCGGGGGAGATTCCCCAGGGAGGGGAATCTCTGCAGTCAGCACTGGGAGGGTGGGGGAGTCGGGTGGAGACTGGGATTAGGGACAACAGGAAGTCCCTCCCAGATCCCGTTCCCCACACAGCTGCAGCCCTACAGGGTTCCCAGTTTCGAGGGTTCCGGGTCTGGGGTCCTGAGCCATGGCTGCACCTGCTCTTTTTTCTTGGCCAGGAGGTGGCTCCTAGATCTGCAACACTGACTCATGATGATTACTTTACCCAGCAAAATATTTGTGATGCACGAAGAGAAGCAGAAACGGTCACCAAAAAGGAAAACTGAGAAGGTGCATTTTTGGAAAGATTTTTATATTGATGTTTCAAAGACAGAATTATAGCAATCCTTGAAGAGCAGCACCTTGCTGGCTGGAGAAGGCAGAACCAGTCTTATCAGTACACAGCACTTCTGAAGGCCCTTCAAACCTTAAGGCTTCCTAGGTCAAGGAATCCTCTGGGTCCCTCAATACTGGCACAGAGTTCTCTCTCCCTAAGAGTGAACTTAAGAAATAGAGTGAGAAACCCCTTTTGCCCACTCTGATGCCCTACACTTAGGAAGATGTGAAATACATCCAATCTTTCCAGAATGACTCCAGCTCAGGATACAGGGATAAAGAGACCTGATCCAGTTGTCTGTATGGTCCCAGATCCTCAGACATCCTGTTGCAGGAGGGCTCCGACAGAGACTGAGAGGGCACCAAAGCTTTCAGGAAGCAAGTTTATTAAGCAAGCCACCAGCTACTCAGCAGACTCACGTCCAAAGGCTGAGCACTGAGAACAAAGGGGGCTTTCCTTATATACCATTTAGAGCAGGTTACAGAAATGGGGAAGGTACAGTTTGTCCCATACATAATCACATGTTATTTCATTGGCTGTTTTAACCTCTGGGGAGAGGTGACCCTCCTCTGGTCTCCAGGTGACATTCTCCAACTCTGGTTTTCCTTTGTTTTACTGTAGCACACATTAATCTCTGTTCCCCCTCCCTGGGAAACGTCAGATGCCACCTCTCAGGTGCAGTACTCTCTAGACCCTGAGAACTAAGGCCCCGACTAGAAAGAATGAGAATTGTGTTTCACTTTCTGGTGAGAACTCATTTCTCCTAGAAAGGGCATGGGGAGTCAGGAAAGAATTAGGGTCCACCCTGTAGTCAGCTTCCATGAAGCCTCTTCCAGGAGATAATTATGTGTTCGCCCAACATCATGTGAGCCCATCTTTGGCTCACCCAAGTCTTCCAGAACCCACCCCTTCACACCATAAAACCAATAGTCCTGACCAGCTCACAGGTGTGCTGTGTCAGATTGCAGAACCCTTTTTAAAAAAAACAAAACAAAACAAACAAACAAAAAAACCAACTTATTTATTTTAGGTTTGAACTCATGGTCTCAGGCTTGTTAGGCAGGTACTCTATCCCTTGAGTCATACTCCCAGCTCTAAAAACCTAATTTGTGACATTTACAAATTAGCAGAGTTCTCATAAAATTGATTTTAAAACATTAGACTATTTAGCCAAGAACCGATCATGTCTGAAATCCCAGATGCTCAAGAGACAGACATCAGGAGGATCATGGTTTGAGGCTAACTCAGACAAATAGTTCTTGAGACCCTGTCTCGAAAATACCCAACACAAGGCTGATGGGGTAACTGAAATGCTAGAGTGCCTGCCTAGCAAGCATGAGGCTCTGAGTTCAAATCCTAGTACTGCCAAAAAAAATTAGAGCATTTAGCTCTGGACCTATATTCTCTGCTCTCATACCTGCTTCTCAGGTGGCTATAGTTCACATTTGGCCCCCATAGCATTTGTGTTTGAACTCTGCTCCTGGAGTTAGACAAGTTTTAGAAGTCCTGGGATCTGCCTTGATTATACTGTCAACTTGAAGAAAGAAAATTTACCCCTGGACTTTGTTTCTGGTTAATATTTCCTGGTATTTTAATCCTCACAGTGAAGGGGAAAGTAAAGTTGAACAAAAGTCAATGTTGTCAAGCCAGAGAGAGCTATAAACTGACACAAAGTCAAAGAGAGTCCTGGAAAAGATTGACACGACTATACTTTCAATGGGAATTCACTCCTGGAGAGAAACATGTTACTCCACGCAGTCCCAAGAGAGCACCAAGTCAAAAACCAGCAAGTGTATCCTGACTCCTGGGCAAAAAGTTCTCGACCAGCAAAACAGGTCACTTCAGGAAATCAGGCTGGGAGGAGAGGTTTACCATGAATGAGAACTGAACATGTATTTAATTGTTCAGAGCAATCATTGAGTACCTACAATGTGACAGACATTAACCCTTCTTGACAATAACAGGAATCCCTTCTGTGGCTGGCTTTAGGATCTGAGCAGACCTGGGAGAGAGGATTACCATAGTTGCTGTGAGGGAATTGCAGCCCCTGAAAGAGATCAGAAGGACACCAGGTGAACATGAGGCAATAAGTAAAGTAGACATCAAAAACATGATGCATCCAGGAACCAGGCTTGGGTGTGAGACAGAGAGCAAAGGGACCTCCAAAAAACATGCTTTATTTAGAAGGGATAGTTTTTGGACCTCCAAAAAACACACTTTATTTAGAGGGGATAGTTGGTGGTCCAGCATTGCCAAGTTTGAGTATTTTTCAAGGAAATAAAAAGATGAATTCTAAGCTGGGTGCTGGTAGCTCATGTCTATAATCCTAGCTATTCAGGAGGCAGAGATAAGGATGATCACGGTTTGATGCCAGCCAGGGGAAATAGTTCTCGAGACCCTATCTCGAAAAAACCCATCACAAAAAAGGGCTGGTGGAGTGGCTGAAGGTGTAGGTCCTGAGTTCAAACCCCAGTACCACCAAACAAACAAAAAACACAAGTTCTACTTCTATGTGAAATCTGGCTTTTAAATTATGACAAAATTTAAAATTTTAAGAACTCCATACAAGTCCAGTAGAGCTTAATTGCTGTCTGAATGCAGCCTGACTACCTCTTTAGGGCTGTACTCACCTCAGAGCCTGTCACAGCCGTTAACGACTAAGGATGAAGGCGCTTAGAGGAGCATCAGGCTTGGGAAATAGTCAACAAGCACTAACTCCAGTACTTGGTGGCTACCCTGAGCTTGAATGAGAAGCGACCACCTTTAGTAAACACAACAGGATCTACTGTCAGACAACAGTTAACTGTTAATGAACACTAGAAAGAAGAGTCATCTCAAGCAGGAACAAAACTGGTACTAACTAAAGCAGCAACACCAGGCTGAAGAGGAGGGCAATGCAAAGTCGTGGCCTTGGGAAGGAAAGAGATGACCAACCAAGGGGAAAAATAAAGGAATATGAGAGAAGTAAAGACAAGAATAACAAACAGCAAAGCAAATTTTAAACACTGACGAAGAAAAGGAAACCAGTAGAAGCGTTCGACAGGCGGACATTCAAAGGAGTAAATTTTGAAAAGAACTAATGTAAAAATCACTAAGAACTCCCGGAGCGTCTCCCTGAGACGCGGAGGCGACCCCGTAACCGGCTCCCCCGAAGCCAGTGTGCCCGCAGGACTACACGTTCGGAGGGGTGGGAGACCCAGGAATCCCGCGAACACCTGGACTCGCCGTGCGCTCTGGCAGCCGGCTGAACACCAACGCGGGGAGCGGTCGTCCAGGTAACGGCGCAGGTCAGCCCCGCCCACGCACCACGGCAGACGCCGTGGATTGGCTGTATCCCGGATGGGCCCGCCCTCCTCCTCACCACGCCCCTCCAGGGCCTAGTTGTCCTTGCCAGCGCCCTCCAGTCCGCGTCCCCGAGGGGAAAGAGTCACCCAGGTGCCTGCCGGCCGGGTCTTAGTGTCCCCGCGTTTCCTGTCCGGCTACCCTACTGTCACTTCCGGTTTGCGCTGCTCTTTTGCGCTGAATCCCACTGTCCCGGCCTCGGGGTGAGGATGGCTCCAGTCGGCTCTGGTCTTCCAGTCGGCCTCCACCCGTGGGGAAACTGAGGCTGCCCGCTTGAGGGGCCTCCGCTGGAGGAGCCTCGATGCATGGGTCCTAGGGGTCTTAATGAAGAGAGAGCTGAGCCTTCGGGGACAGGACCCACCTCGATAAAGCGGTACTGGTTCGAGGCTCTGTGCAGCCTCGAGGACCAGCATTGGGTGCTGTTTTGTTTCAGAAAAAAGTAGGACTGGGGGGGGGGGTACCTCAGTGGTGGAGCGATGGCCTACTGTGTGAGACCCTGGGTTTACATTAAATAATTAATTAATTAATTAAAATAAATAAAAATGCTGAGTTGCCCACTGTGTCTTAGAGATGGTTTGGTGT